TCTCCTTGATTTTTTTTTTTAATCAAAGAAACAAGAAAAGATGGCAGCAAGATAGGCATGGCAACACAAACTTGTGATCCCAGCAATGGGAAGACCACCCTGGGCTAAATAGTAATAGCAAGGCAAAAGAGAGGAAGGGGAGGAGAGGAAGGTAACAGCAAACTATTCTCATTCCCTGTTGTCTTTTTCATACTTGGCAAGGATCACACGAGATAGAATAGACACCAGTAGCTTCACAGTGGTCAGAGCCATTGGTCTTGTAACACCAGCAGCTACAGAACACACTTGGTTCTCCCCACACACTTTGGTCCTATACTCTCTCTCAATTATTATAGACTCAATGTCTAAGTGCCTAAGAAAAATGCTTGGCACACAGCAGATATTCAGGAAATATTGGCAAGTAGCAACCCAATAACTCAGGAAAATAAAGAATCCAAATCTCAGAGAATGAATAAGAAAAGGTTCAGAAAACTACAATAATTCCATGGTATTTATACTGGTCTCTGACAATCAAAACAACACATAAGTCCTAAAAAGGCCTGGAACTAACTCCAAACACACACACACACACACACACACACACACACACTTTGCTCACATTCACTTTCACTCTGTCTCTCTGTCTCTCTCTCTCTCTCTCTCTCACACACACACACACACACACGGGTTGGAGGCATATGAGAATGCACACACACAAAACTAAAAAAAAGGTCTTCCTCAAGCCTGGCCCTGAAGGTTTTAATGCCATCAAGAGATGGTTCCAAATGGACATTGTGGCAAACACCTATAATCCCATCTCTTTGGAGGTGGAGGTAAGAGAATTCTAATTTTGAAGCCAGTCTGAGCTATATGGTAAGACTTTGTCAAAATAAATAAATAAATAAAAACAAGACTGGGACTGGGATGTAGCTCAGTGGTAGAGTACTTGCCTAACATGTACAATGTCATGGATACAATCCCCAGTACCAAAAAAATCCTTCAAGAAATTTTTGTTGTAATATTTTTAGAATATTTCTTTCTGTTCTAAATCCAAGATTTTTCTAGCAAAGAATCCCTTTGTACAAATATGTATGCACACACATGAACACATATACATATAAGGGGGATAAGCTTGAAGACCAAGGAAAATGGCAGTCTAAATCTGGATTAAAAAATAAGCACAGCCAAATACCACAAATCACAACTGAATAAAGCTCATTTCATAAAACTATACTAGATAAGGGTACTAAGACTTGCAAAGACTTCTCTAATCTGGCAAAAAAATTAACCAAAGATCACAGACCATATCTCATTTTTCTCAATTGTCCATCTCTTTTCAGACCTAAAACCAAGAGCAATATCAGGAAGATATTTGGCCTTCCTTTTTATGCTCCCATTCCATACCACAGATGTTACCACAGGGTCTAGCCGTGAGGTTGAACATAACTCTAGTATTTTGCTAGAGCCCCATAAGATTTCTAGAAGGGTGAAAGGAAATGTATCATTGGAATCTAAAGCTGTGGCAGTGTTTGACAGACACAAAGGCTACTTAGGGACAAAAGGGTCACTACCCACTTCCACAGTGGCCCTTTGCCCATAAGCCCAGGATACCCCAGCCCTGCAGGCAGCACAGAGTTAACTACCCACCCGTTCTGAGAAGCACAAAGGTACATCACTGCAACATGTCTAACATTTACATTGCCTCTCTCTGCTCATTAAACAGGTTTTGGTTAAATAATGAACAAACTGTATTACAGACTCCGATGAGAATTCCAAAATTATAAATCAACTGGGAAAGCCCAAAGGAGCAGACAGACAGGGAGGGGGGAGAAGGATAATATTGACTAATATAAAGGGCGCAGCTTGACAGTGGATATTCCTGCCACACCTGATCAAACACACTCTGTGGGGGGAGGGGAAAGAGAGCAAGAGAGGGGAGATGGGACAAGACAGCCTGAAATTTGCATCCGGAAAAGATTAAAAGGGATTCTTTGGGGATAGAGAAAATACATAATATATATTACTATAAATGCAAAACTGTACTAAAGCTAACTCAAATGTCAAAGATTACAGCTTGAATAAATTTAAATATAAAAGCCATGTGCTTCCTTGAGTTAATGAGAGAGACATAAAAGAACAAAGTGGCCAAGAGGCTGCCTTATGCTGCCTTTGCTGGGCAATGGGTCCAAAGCTCGGCCATGACTACATCCAAAGACTTCCCTCCAGAGTTCTGAGCCCTAAGAAATGTGAATTCAATAGTTTTGTAACTTAAATTTGATTTTTTTAATGACAGATAAAGTTAGGTTCAGTGGTGCACACCTATAGTCCCAGTTACTCAGGAGGTTAGCAGATACATCATTTGAGTCCAGAAACTCAAGGCAAGCCTGGGTAGTACAACAAAACCCTGATTACATTAAAGAAAAACACATTTTCAGCTACAATTCACATGTCATAAAATTTATCCTTGTAAAGTATACAGCTCAGAGGCTTTTTAATAGACTTTCAATGTTGTACAACCATAAAACATTTTCTTCACTCCCAAAGAAACTCCTCATAGAAGAACTATGCATTAACTCCTTCAGAAGAACCCTCTGAAAGGATATAAGAGCCCTTAATGACTAAGGGAAACAATCAAGTCCCCCTCACTGATACTTTTGTCAAAGTAACAATATACAAATTCTGTACTCTTAATTGCAGGGAATGAAGTTATCACAGTTTGTGTAGATACTGACTACAAATATCTCCAAAGATACATATCTGTGAGGAAAACTGCCATGGACTCAGTCAGCCTCACAGGAAACAAGGTTCTCATTTCCCTGTACATGATTGGTAGCAGACGCCTATAACATCAGCACTCCAGTGAGCTTGAGCTGATGTGAGTACTGGGGGAGCTCATGCTAACCACTGAGCTATTGTTTATACTGGTTTCTCTAACTAGTTCTTTTTGGTTTGTTTGTTTGCCACTAAGGATTGAACCTAAGGCCTTGTGAATTCGAGGCAAGTGCACTACCATTGAGCTGATCCATTTGTATTTTTTTTAATTTTGAGACAAGGTCTCACTAAGTTACCCAGGCTGACCTTGAACTCATTCTATAGCCTAGACAAGTCTTAAAGTTTCAATCCTCCTGTCTCAGGCTCCTATATTGAGATTACAGGTCTGTACCACTATGTCTAGGTTGTTTATTTGCTTGCTTGTTTGTTGAGGACAGGACTTTATTTTGAAGCACAGACTCTCCTGGAGTCAGCGTGTACGGGAACGTGAGGACAATAAGGAGAGTCTCAGTCCCTCTGTGGTGCTCTTAGTCACTGTGTGCCCAGCTTTGCCTCCAGTTCACATCACTCCTTCTGTCTCATCCTGAGTGCTTGGATTACGGGTGTCAGCACCAGACTTGGCTATAGGCCAAGTTTAGTTTATAAAACTAAAATTTAAAACCTTTCAGTGAAGCAAAATTTGTTCCTTTATAGATAACTTCAGTCCATGTTTGGGAAAATAACTAACTTTCTCCAACCTTCTCCTGTGTTTCTCATAAAATGAGGAACTTTTTTTCATTTACTGTATGTTTAATTTGTTGAAGTCTAAATACTGTTCAATTATGGGCTGATATACCACTATCTAACAGCATTCCAAGGCTACATTACAAGAGCCCTAAGATCAACACAGGAATACATTTCTGAGTCATTTCCTTTTAGTCTATATTGCCTTTAAAAAGCACAAGTGTAAAATAAAAACAATAAATAACAACAACAAAAACCACATAGGATTGACTTTTTTCTTCCATTACCCTCTTCTCCCACACATTCAATAAAAGGCACTTTGTATATACAGCCCCCTCTAATTAAATGCACCAAAGCAATGGACAACATGGGGAAGAACACTAAAGCAGGCATCAGAAGCCTAAAATTTACTCGATTCGTCCTCTGAGAATTAGCTAAATCACTTTAGGTGTACTGTTTGCTTTTTGTTTTTTTGTTTGCCTTTTGTTGGTTTTTTTTGTTTGTTTGTTTCATTTGAGATAGGATCTCATGTAGCTCAGGCTAGTCTAAAACTGGTATATAGCTAAAGGATAATACTGAGTTTCTGAACCTCTTGGCTTCTCCTCCCAAGACCTGAGATTACAGACAAGGTCCATGCTACCACAAAGTTTTTGGGGTGCTACGAATTGAATCTAGGGCTTATTCAAGGGAGATCACGAATTTACAAACTGAGCTACATCTCCAGACCTTCAGGTAGATCACGTTAAACCCCTCTACACTTCACTTTCTGTCATAAAAAGGGGGCATTATGCATGTCTCTTTCACACATTTCTGTAAGTAAACAAGGATAATATGTAAATGGCTTTGAAAATTCTAAATGCAAATAATACATAAAGTTAATTTGATTAGGAAAATAAAAGAACAAAGGATTCTGAGACCATAGGAAGACTGAAAAATAATCAAGACTGAAAGCAATGACTAGGGATTGACAAACTTTATCCACGAGCCCAACTGACTTGCATACTTATTTTTTTTTATATTTATTTATTTATTATGTTCTGTCTGTGTGTATGCCTGCAGACCAGAAGAGGGCACCAGACCCCATTACAGATGGTTGTGAGCCACCATGTGGTTGCTGGGAATTGAACTCAGGACCTTTGGAAGAGCAGGCAATGCTCTTAACCTCTGAGCCATCTCTCCAGCCCCGACTTGCATACTTATTAAGAAAGAAAATATATACTTCTAATGTACATCTTACTTATGACTACTGAGCTACACGGACAGAGCTGAGCAGCCACAGAGCCGCATACAGCCTGCAGAGCCTGAAGAGCTTACTATATGGTTCTTTGTTTCCATTTAATTGCCCTATATGATCCTTTATAAGAAAGTTTTGTCTATCCCTGCAGTAAATCAAATACATGTATTTCTTACTAGGTCAGGTAATTCTGTCTGCTTGTGGAGCCTTACCTGTTAAACTGTTTCCCACACATGGCACCTTCCTTACCTGTTGCGCTGTTTAAGAATTCTACCTGCATGTGGAGCCTTACCTGTTACGCTGTTTAAGACCTCCTTTAAATGACTGAAACTGTGCAGTAGAGGATCCCGCTCTTCATCCTGGAGAATCAAGATCAAGAAGAAAAATGACTAATCCGAAACAGTAAGATCAAAACTGTCTCCCTAAATCCAACCACAAAATTCAGTATGTTTTCTTTCTGAGGAAGAAACTTAGCCACGGCTCCTCACTCTCCTATTTCAGAGACACTGTGATCTTACTTAAAGTAAGTTCTTCAATGCTAATCTATAACCCAGTTCCTTTTATTCTTCTTAACATGTTTTACTACATTTTATTTATTTTGTGCACATGTGCATGCCATAGCACGCATGTGATGGTGAGGGAACAACATGTGGACTTGGTTCTCCCCTTCCATCATATGATCCTGGGGATCAAACTCTAGCTAGTCATCGGGCTTGTGCCTGCCGACTGAGCCATCTCACTAGCCTCAACCCAGCTTCTCCTGTTAATCACAGCCAAATATGGGGGGGATCTTGAAAGTTTGGCAACAGCAAAAGGTTCCTGAATACATAATAATCAAAATCAAAATGAATTCAGGGAGTTTCAGGCAGTGTCCTATGATGCATTTTCCTTACTTTGCTGCTGGCAATCAGTATTCTAATCACACAACATGCACTTTGCATTGCACATGTCACACCTTGTACCACAATGAGCATGCCCAAACTACATCTGCTCAGATTTTAAACTGGTATGTTTTATGAGTTGCAGTACTTTTGCTGTAAAAGTTTTCTGCTCCTCAAGAAACATAATGTAAATTTAGTGATGGAAAAATATTTCCATTTTCATGGAAATATTTTCATTTCCATTCCTCAGCATGAAGGATCAAATTAGAACAACTTTGTATTGTATTGTGTTAGAATGTTTAGTTTTAAAATGGCTGCTTGTAGGGGCTGGAGAGATGGCTCAGTGGTTAAGAGCATTGCCTGCTCTTCCAAAGGTCCTGAGTTCAATTCCCAGCAACCACATGGTGGCTCACAACCATTTGTAATGAGGTGGCTTCTTCTGGCCTGCAGAATATTGTATACATAATAAATAAATATTTTTTAAAAAATGGCTGCTTGTAAACTGGGCAATGGTAGCATACACCTTTAATCCCAGCACTCAGGAGGCAGAGGCAGGTGGATCTCTGTGAGTTCAAGGTTTGCCTGGTCTACGGAGAGAGTGCTGGGACAGCCAAGGCTTCACAGAAAAATCCTGTCTCAATAAACAAAAACAAAAAATTATAAAATCAAATCAAAATAGCTATCAACTCCAAAAAAGGAACAATATTCTATGTCCTGCAGTACCAAATACTCAGCAATGATTTCTTTATATAAGAATAAATAAGTACATCTGCCTCATTAGTATGTAATCTGCTTTCTTCTTTAATAAATGGCATGACTGTATGTATATCAAAGAATGTTTTTAAAACATTTATTTGTGCTGGGCAGTGGTAGCACATGTCTTTAATTCTATCACTCAGGAGGCAGAGACAGGTGGATCTCTGAGTTCGAGGCCAGCCTAGTCTACTAAGCAAGTTCCAGGACAGACTCCAAAGTTACAAAGAAACCCTGTCTTGAAAAACAAAGAAAAACAAAACAGAAAAGTATATACATACATACATACATACATATACATATATATATGGGCACTCAGATGACTTGACGTAAGTGTGAAAATCAGGACAGTATGCAGGAGTTGTTTCTCTCTTTCCAATATGTTCTGGGGATCAAACTTGGGTCATCAGACTTGGTGGCAAGCACCTCCACCCTCTAAGCCATCTCAGCAACTTCCAAACAATTATTTTTTAAATAAGTTTCTTTTTTTTAAATATTTATTTATTTATTATGTATACAATATTTTGTCTGTGTGTCTGCCTGCAGGCCAGAAGAGGGCATCAGATTTCATTTCAGATGGTTGTGAGCCACCATGTGGTTGCTGGGAATTGAACTCAGGACCTTTGGAAGAGCAGGCAATGCTCTTAACCACTGAGCCATCTCTCCAGCCCCCTTAAATAAGTTTCTTTATGACTTATTATCAGTAAATGTTTTATTTGTATGTCTAGGTGCCCCATAGTATTTTAAATTTTCTCAAACAAACAGGGACCAAAAGTGAAAAAAAGTGACCAAGAACATCATTTATGTATGTAAAAACCCACATGTCTCTAATTTTATTTCACATGTATACATGATACAGACATATATCAGAACTTTCTAACTTGACAAAGATAAACTATTTGGTGAGTATGTTTGGAATGTCCCCATGTTTATTCAAAAACACTGATTGGGGGCTAGAGAGATGGTTTAGCAGATAAAATATTAGTTAGAAAACATTAAACTTATTTTTATAATTGTGCCAAACTTTGTTCATGCAATGATGCTACAAATAAGCACACATACATACATACGTGTGTATTATAATACACACAACAACAACAAGAAGCAGCCAACTTTAAAACTATATGTGAGGGAACACAGTAAAGAAACTGATGACATAATCATTCCATAAGGGGAAAGGTTTTTATTGTGGATCAGAGAAAGAAAAAAATCCAGAGGCATCTAGAGGAGTCCAGAGCAGAGAGAAAAAAGAAACAGACTGGACATGGCCAGGGCTAGGGTAGCTGGAGAATGGGAGAGAATATTGGAGATAGCAAGAGAGCAACATTGCTAGAGAGAACAGGGGGTGGAAAAATCATGTGGATTATAAGGAAGAGTAGCTGACGGGAGGGTTCTTTTGGAAACAGCACAACAGAAAAAATTCACAAGTTCCTGAAGAATGCTGGCTTTAATCTGTAGCCAAAAATTCTTTAATAGGCCAGCTTGAACCCACTTATGGATATATGGCCTTCCTGAGACCTAACACTAATAATGAAGTTTCTTATTCATTTGACTGGCAAGATAAGACCTGCTCTGTATGTGGAAGCTTACAGACTCCATTGCACAGATTATTATCATTGTTATTTTGCTTACATGCATGGCTGTGTGAGGGTGACTGAACACCTGAAACTGGAGTTCAGTCTGGCAATTACAACTGGCAATTGTAAAGTGTCTTGTGAGTTCTGGGAACTGAACCAGGGTCTTCCAGAAGAGTAATCAGTGCTCTTAGCCTCGGAGCTATCTCTCCAGCCACAGATAATAATTTTTAAAGATATAAAAAGACAGGACACTGGATCCTTGGAAATGGAATTACAGGTGGCTTTATGCCACCCAGCTGTGGCCCTCTGGAAGAGCAGCAGTGCTCTTAACTACTAAGCCATCTCTCCAGCCCTGGTCATGGTGTCTGCCACAGCAAGAGACAAAACTAAGACACTAACTCACTCCCACTATCAAAAATGCTTCCTTTCTTAATAAAGTATCTGTTTCATGTATGTATACAGTATATACATACACACACATATATATATTTACATACATATATTATACATGTATAGAGAGAAGAATGTGGTGATCTTTTGGTTAAACCTATGAATCTGATGCCAATTAAAATAAAACAGAAGTATCCTTGGATACCAAGAATAGTTCTGAATTCCTATTATTACTGAAAACATGATGTTATTTTAATTAGGGTTTTTTATGTTTATTTTGTGTGTATGTGTATGTAAGGGCCACACATATAGTAATCAGAGGACAACCTGTGGGAGTCAGTTCTCTTTTTCTAGCATGTGGGTTTCAGGCATTGAACCTAAGTAGTCAGATGTGGTGGCTTGAATGAAAATTCCCCCATAGGCTCATATTTTTGAATGCTTGGTCACCAGGGAGCAGATTAGGAGTTTGGACTTGTTGGAGTAGGTATGGCCTTGCTGGAGGAAGTGTGTCACTGGTGGTGGACATTGAGGTCTCAAAAGCCCATGCCAGGCCCATTTTCTCTTTCTCTTTGTCTACTGCCTACAGATCAGGATGCTGTTCTCAGCTACTGTTCTAGTACCATGGGTGGCACCGTGCTAAATTAAATGCTTTCTTTCATAAGAACTTCTTAGGTCATGGTGTCTCTCACAGCAATAGACAGTGATTAACACATCAGGCTTTATCCACTCACCCACCTTGCCAGCACTAGGTTGTTGTTCTTTTAAGTTTGTCTATAAAATAATGGGTTTCAACTAGAGGGTGGTGGTGGTGCAAACCTCTAATCCTAACATTTAGGAAGTGGAGATAAGAAGATCAAGAGTTGAGCTAGGCACATCTTTAATCCTAGCACTGTGAAGGCAGAGGCAGGCAGATTTCTGTGAGTTCGAAGCCAACCTGGTCTACAAGAGCTAATTCCAGGACAGGCTCCAAAGCTACAGAGAAACCCTGTCTTGAAAAACCAAGGGGGAAAAAAAAAGACCAAGAGTTTAAAGGCAGCCTCAGCTACATACTAGGTTTAAAGCAATAAATAAATAAATAAATAGGTGGGACGGGTATCATTATGGTATTTTCATATATATGTCAGTTTGGGAGCTCCACCTTGGCCCCCAATACTTGTCCCCCCCATTCCAAATCCCTACAGGTTAAGACACGGTCCCCCCTCCACCACTTGCTATATGGATGTCCCTCGTGGTTTCTCTCTTTTCCCTGGGATCACCTGGGAATGCTTTGCTCATTAAACCTGGACTATTCATTTGGCCTGATCTGATTTGTTGCATAGGCAGAGAGACTTAATACTGGGTAAGGAAACCTTTTGCCATCCTTATACTTTATTCTTATTCACTAGCCCCCCTCCCTCTCCCAATCCTACCACCATTCTAGTAGGTTCTCTGCTCCCCTCAAGTAGATTTCCTCTTCTCTCCTTTTGATTTGCTTTGTTTATCATATATAATATGTGTATGAGCATGTATACATATCATGCACATATGGAAGTCAGAGGACAACTTTATGGAATTGGTTCTCTCCTTCCATTCTTATGCAGGTTTCAGAGACCAACTTCAGGCTATCAGGATTTAAAGCAAACCCATAACCACTAAGCCATCTTACCAGCCACTGATTTTATGGTTACTTTTTTCTTCATTTTCATTTGGATATGTGTGTGTGGTATGCAAGTGTGTATATATACATGTTAATAGGCACGTGGAAGCCTAAGGTTAATACTGGGCATCTACCTCTACCATTCTCCCACCTTATCCTCAGAGGCAGAGGATGATCAACCCCAGAGCTCACTGATATGGCTACTCTCACTAGCTAGCTTGCTCCAGGTATCCCTTTCTCTGCCTTCCAAGGCTTGAATTACAGGCCTTACCCACTCAGTCACTTCACCAGCTCTGGATAGCAACTAATTCTTTATATGGGTTTTGGGGATCCAAACTGGAGGCCTCTTGCTTGTGCAGCAAGTGTTTTAACTGCTGAAGCATCTCCCTAGCGCCTGCTCTTTTAAGATTTTTATTCATGTATATGTGTGTATATCCACATGAGTATATAGCATTATGTGTACAGGTACCCAAGGAGGCTAGTAGAGGATATGGATCACCTAGAACTGGAGATAGAGTCATGAATTGCCCACCAACTTGGTCCACTAGATTAGCAATTATTCTTAACGGCTGAGCCATTTCTCCAGCCCCCAGCCCTGCACTCCCGGTCTTTTGGGTTTTTTTGTCAGTTTGTTTGTTTGTTTTTTGATACAGGGTCTTAAGTAGCCCAGGTTACTTTTGAATTCAGTATATAACCAGAGCTAGCCTTGAACGTATGATCCTGTTTTTTTCTACCTCCCAAGTGCTAGGGTTATAGGAACACACGACCACACCCAGCTGCTCTGTTCTGCTTTCACGACACATGTCTTCTATTGTTCTCTTTCTCCCTCCTCCTTTTATGAGGACCTATTCCTTACCCTTTACATTCCCTTTCTTCTTTCATCTCTCTCTCTCACACACACACAAATACATACTCACTCTTAGCTGATTAGTGTTTTAACCAAAGATGAGATCCCTACAATAACTCAGTGACCAGACTGTGCCCATTCCCCACTCACCAGTGGTATATGGGTGCTCCATCGTGCATTTCGTTTGATGGCGCCAACAACAATGTTAATTTCTCCTTGAATGATGTAAATATTCTTATCCACCATCCTGACAAACCTACCAGAACAGTTGAAGAGAAAAGACTGGTTAATACTTTTTCCCTTTAGGGTTTGTTTGTTTACTTGTTGGTTTTAGGAAGCTTTTTTGTTTGTTTGTTTGTTTTTAGGTTGTTTAGAGACAGGTTCCTCAGTGTAGCCCAGGCAAACCTAGAATCTGTAGAACAGGCTGGCCTTGAACTCAGATTCTGCTGCCTTTGCCTCCCAAGTGCTGGAATTAAAAGCATGTGCCACATGCCTGTCTTTATTCTTTCATTTTATGTATATAAATGTTAAGCCTGCATGTACATCTGTGCACCATGCACATGCCCAGTACCAGCATAGGCCATCAGATTCCCCAATACTAGAGTTACAAATAGTTATGAGTCACCATTTGGGTGCTAGGAATTGAACCTGGGTTCTCTAGAAAAACAATTCTCTTAACCACTGAGTCATCTCGCTCCAGCCCCAAGATGGGGGATTATTTAAATAACTAGCCATGTATGGTGGCACACACCTGTACTCCCATCTACTAGAAAGGCTAAGGCAGAAGAATTGAAATTGCAAGGCCTGCCTAGGCAACTTACCAAGACCCCATCTCAAAATAATAATAATTAAAGGGGTGAGAATGTAGCTTGGAGAAACACTTTCCTAATGCTCATGTGGAATTTGGTCCAGAACCCAACACTACCAATTAATTAGTTAAGTCACCCAAAGCATAGTCATGAATAGGCTAACAATGTGAGAAATGTCATTTGACTTTCCAGTACCAAGACTTTCAATCTGGGACACTAAGGTTAATTTTATCTTAAGTTACGAATCTAACTATCTGACTGTCCTAAAAGTTTCTGGAAGTTCCAAGTAGTCAAGATAACAACTTCAAACTCAACAATGCAGGTGGCTGTTACGGTGTACACCTTTAATCCCAACACTTTGGAAACAGAGGAAGGTAGATCTCTGTAAATTCAAATCCAGCCCAATCCACATAGTGAATTTCAGGTTAGTATGGGATACATGAGACTTTATTTCAAAAACAGAAAAGAAAAGAGAAAAAAAGAAAAATTTCTTTTTGAGACAGAGTCTCCCTCTGTAGACCAAGCAGGCCTTTAACTCACAGAAATCTGCCTGCCTCTGCCTCCTGAGTGCAAGGATTAAAGATATGTATCACAAAAGAACAAAAATAAGGCATGCAGATCTCTCCAAGTTCAAGGCCAGCCTAAACTACAGTAGTGAATTTCAGGCCAGTCAAGGCTACATAGTGAGACTCTGTCTCAGAGGGGAGAAAAAGAAGGCTTTGGTTTGGAATCACAGTTAAATGTCAGCTTAAATACTGCAAGCATTCTGCCCAGGCAGTTCCAGGAATCTAACATGCTCAATGAGAAGTTCTAAAACCTCACATCCACTTACTGACTGCAGGAGTCTCCAGCAAGAAGACTCCAGTAGACACTTTGTAAACCTGATGCTCTATGAGTCTCTGAAACGAAGCTGAAAGCTTCCCAGTGGAACTACTTATAGGATTGCCTTTGCTGCCCAGAATAGCACTTAGAAAATATATTTAATTCTTTCCTCAGGTAAAAATATTGAAAAATTGAATTTCTTCTTAGAAGACTAGGGATGCAGTTTTGCCTAGTGTGCACGAAGCTCCAGACTCAGCCCTGCCACACTTACAGACAGGCACGATGGTGGACACCTGTGGTCTAAGCACCACAGCAGGCAGTGGCAGGACCAGGAAAGGCAAGTCACCCTTCACAACACGGAAGACTGAAGACCAACCTGGGTTCATAAGACTGTTTCCTAAAAAACACTTTTTTCTTGGCATAGAGTATCTCCTAGGAATATGTAACAATAAATTTGCCACTTCCCATTATTTAAAAACTCCTCAATCTGGCATGGTGGCTAATGCGAGTAACACTGGTATTCACAAGTGAGTTCAAAGTCAGCCTTAACTGTGTTGTGAGTCTAAAAAAAAAAAGGAATTCAAAACTATTGTAAAGTTTTTTTTTTTAAAAAAAAGTATTAGTATTGTAGTAGTTGACTTCCTACCAATATTTATGTTAAAAAAAAAACAAAAATAAAAAACACCATGAAAAACACTACTTTTTTTGTTTTTTGGTTTTTTGAGACAGGGTTTCTCTATGAAACATCCTTGGCTGCTGTCCTGGAACTCACTCTGTAGACCGGGCTGACTTTAAACTCACAGAGATCCACCTGCCTCTACCTCCTGAGTGCTGGGATATAAGATGTGCACCACGACTGCCCGACCCTACATTTTTATTATTTAAACATGTGATATTTAGCATACAAAAGAATACAGTCATATAATAACCAGCGTCTGGACTAGTAGTTCAAGGGAAGACTCTTGAGTACTTCCCAATTCTATCCTCCTTACTTCTGTCCATGACTCGTACTATTGTAAAACTGGCCTTTATTAACATTTTACTCTTATTTCAATGATATGTATCTTTAAATAACATACAATATCATTCTCCTTTATGTGTAATGAATATTTATATATTCTTCTGTAATATGCACTTTGATGTTTTATCTAAGAGTCATTCATATCCATGCTGATAAGTACAGTTAATATATTTTGTAGATACATATACAGATAAATAAATAAAAATATAGCATCTAAATCTGGGTATGGTGGTATATGCCTGTAATCCCAGCACACAGAAAACAGAGGCAAGCCAGTTTCTGTGAGGTCAAGACCAGCCTGGTCTACACCCAGAGCAGTCAGAGTTACACAGAGAAACTCTGTCATTAAAAAAAAAAAAAGGAAAAAAGAAGAAAAAAAAGACCCCTCAGAGTTTGAGCACCTTCTGTTCTTTCAGAGGACCCAGATTCAGTTCCCAGCACAAACATACACACAGGCAAAACACTAATACACATAAAATAAAATTTTGTTCTGTTTTTTTGTTTTTGGAGACAAGGTTTCTCTGTGTGTCCCTGGCTGCCCCAGAACTCACTCTATAGACCAGGCTGGCTCTGAACTCAGAGCTCTGCCTGCCTCTGCATCCCAAAAGCTGGGAATTAAAGCCATGTATCACCAACTTCTGGCTTTTTTTTTTTATTATATTTATTTTATGTGCATTGGTGTTTTGTCTACATATATGTCTGTGTAAAGGTTCCAAATCCCCTGGAACTAGTTATAGACAGTTGTGAACTGCCATATGGGTGCTGGGAACTGAACTCAGGTCCTCTGGAAGAACAGTCAGTATGCTTAACCACGCAACCATCTCTCCAGCCCAAAATAAATGTTTTATGTAGCTAAATTTGCATATTGTATAAAGATGGGATTCCCCAAGAAATGGAAGTCATGAAAACCATCAAACTAGGCATGGCAGTACATGCCTATAATCCCACCATTTGAGAGGCAGTGGCAGGTAGATCTCTGAGTTCCGGCCCAGCTTGGTTTACAGAGTGAATTCCAGGACAGCCAGAGCTACATGGAGAAAGCCTGTTTTAAAAAAAAAAGAAAGAAAACCATACATCCGCACACAGAAGACTGAAACTAGAACTCTGTCACACACAGAAGAATGAAACTAGAACAACCCCATCTCTCATCTTCCACCAAAAAAAAAAGAAAATCCAATGAGACTAATCACTCAGAAAACAATTCATGAAATTGAAAAGCTTCTAAACAGGAAAGGAAATAGTTAATTGAGTAAAGATACAGCCTACAGAATAGAAGAAAATCTTAACAAGCTATACATCTGGTATTAGAAGACTAATACCTAAAACATATAGAAAATAAACAAGCTAGAGTCAGGGAGATGGGAGATGGAACAGTCAGAAAAGCAGGAACCTGAGTCCAGATTCACAGAACCCAAATAAAGAGCATGGTAGTAGGTACCTGCAACCCGAGTGCTGGGCAAGTGGGGGCAAGGGGATCCCTGGGGCTTGCCAGGCAAGTCAATCTAACCAAATAGGTAAGCGGGTGCAGTGAAAGACCCACATCTCAAAACTTAAGGTGGAGAGAGATGAAACAATCTCCTGACATTGACCTCCAGCCTCCAAAGGACACATATGCATGTGTACACAAACATGTACAACACATATGCTTACACAAAGAGGAGGGGGAAAACAATAAAATCAATAAATGGGCTAGTAAAATAGACAGTTCTCAAAAAATGAAATACAGACAGGCGCAGAGGCAAATGGATCTCTGAGTTCGAGGCCAGCCTGTTTTCTGTGTAATTATTTCGGGTGTAAAGCTAGCCAGGTGGCGGAACGCCTGGTCTACTGAGTGAGTTTCAATATAAAGGTTCTCGAAGCACTAAAAACAGGTCATTGATATGACCTGCTGTATCACTCCTGGGTATTTAACCCTAAGGACTGCTTCAAGACAACATAACACAGAGATACTGGAACATCAGTGTTTACTGGAGTCCTATTCTCAATAGGTTCATTATGGAACCAACCTAGGTGACAGACAACAGAGAAAAGAAGGAAAATGTGGTATAAATATACACAATGGGATTTTCTTCAGTCATAAAGAACAGAGTAGTATCAGTCAAATGATTCTGTATCTAACTGAAGACCATCACACTAAGAGAATTAAGCCAATCTCAGAAAGAAATAAATCCATGTATATGTGTAAAGTAGTAATGCTGTCTGGGGGACAAAGGAGACCAATGGGAGGAAAAGAAGCAAGAAAAAGGACAGCAAGTGGGCATGTAGGGGGATATGCTCAATATAAAATACACAAGTACATTTTTAAAATAATTATTTTTTTCAATGATACTACTAAAGCCAGGTATGGTGGCACACATCTGTAATTCCAGCAATCAAGAGACAAAGCAGGAGGGGCAGGGTTCTGATGCCAGTCTGACTGCATGGTAAAACCTTGTCTTAAAAAAAAAAAAAAAAAAGGTAGGACACAGGCGAGAGGATGGCTGCTCTTCCAGAGGACCTGGCTTCAATTCCCAGCATTCACATGGTGGCTTGCAACCATCCAGTGCACAGGTGTGCATGCAGGCTAACACACATAGAGTCTGGCATCTATGGGCACTGCACACA